GGAGGTACAGAGAGAGGAATCGGGGGCGGGGAAAAAAAAGTAAGAGACTGAATGACAGTTAAACAGATCAAGACAGAGTAAAAGAAAACAAAAAGACTTGGATAACAGTCAGACAGAACTAACAAATCAACAAAGACTAGATTATCTGCATTAATGGAATACAATAGGCAACCTGAAAAATATATGGATTAGATTAGAAATGGATGAATTAAGGGGATTGTACTGTAAAAATAGGAAGCTATGATAAAGTATAATAGAGCTACACACTACTTCTTAGAATCAATTTCCCACGATTTTTAAACTATGAAAAAAAAAAATACCAACCCATTAAAAGTCACTTTGTCAGGGGTCACAGGCAGACCTCTAATTTACTAGTATATGACAATCATTAAGAGAAATCAAAGCATGTTCATTTCTAAGCTATAAATAAAATCCTATTTGGAGAATTGATCCACTAGATTTTTAAAATAGGGCCACCAGTCTATGGACTGTAATCAACTATTTCTAAATACCATTTATTCAAATGGATTGCTGGTCAGGCCACACTTCCTATCATCCTCATTAAGATCAAAGATTGCACCATGCTGCCAATGATGATTTCACAACTTAACACATCATTACCCAAAGTGACTACATACTACAGTAAAATATATTACAGAAAAAACAAAGTCTGATCTAGGTTCTATAGAACTCTTATATATGAGCAATTTCGATGTTTGCTCAAAGCTTTACATGTTTGTAAATCACTTTTAGTTCTTATGAGGGAGAAATAGCAATAAAGGAGAAAACCACAAAAGCACGAATGAGTAGGAAATTCAACAAAGTTTTTGAAAAAGCAATCTTTCCTCTGCCCATCCCCTTAATGTTCTAACTCCCACTGCATTAAAGAAATTACAAACTTTACAGAAAATGTTAAGAACTGAGTGAACAAATTAGAAACTCCATATTACCTGCCTTAGAGAATGCCCACAGTTTATACATTTAAGGCTGCTGCCAGTCAAGTACTCTTCTCACACCATCATTTTTATGAACATGACCCGACCTGGCAGAAATACTCCTATATCTGCCCAAAAAGAAAAGTCCCCAAAATATCTATAAAAATTATTTCTTGAAGAGACTAACTGTGCCTCCCACAACCCAGTCAGCTGAATTTTGACCTGATTTAAAAATGGGGCAGTTGTTAAAGTAAATAAAGAATTTAAAACTTAAAAAAAAAGGATACTATAATACTTTGCTTCTCTGTTCTACAGCTTTGATTAAAACTTGGGTCCAAACATTTTTGACCTGTAAAGCTAAGTTGGCACACATCCCCCCTTCAAGGTATCATTAATATTTTAAATTAGAACAGCTAAGAAGAAAAAGATAGTTACGTTTAGTCATGTGCTTTCTTTTACTTTCATTTAGGATCCTGTTAGAAATTACAGTAATCTGTCTCATGTTCATCCTGTAACTCTCCACTGTCTTTGTCAATATCCTGGTTCACCTACTGCCACCTGAACTTCCATACGTAGCTAAATGCCTTCCTAGTCCCATTTCAACTGACATACCGCCACCAAACTGATCTTTCCAAGGCACACTCTGATCACACTGTCCCCACATTCAAAAACCTCCCATAACTTACAGCGATGTCTAAATTAAGAACACATTCCTCAGCCTGGCTTTCAAGGTCCTCCACAACCTGACCTAACACACCTTTGTAGTCCTCTTTCTTATAATTCTCCACCAGTTAACCTAAGCTCCAGCACATATCTCAGACTTTTCTGGGTCTGTACCAGGGGTGGGCAAACTTTTTGACTCGAGGGCCACAATGGGTTCTTAAACTGGACCGGAGGGCCGGAACAAAAGCATGGATGGAGTGTTTGTGTGAACTAATATAAATTCAAAGTAAACATCATTACATAAAAGGGTACGGTCTTTTTTTTTTTAGTTTTATTCATTTCAAATGGGCCGGATCCGGCCCGAGGGCCGTAGTTTGCCCACGGCTGGTTAGACCCTTCCCTCTATTTGGATGTACCTCCTCCTGGTTTCCTGTTGAAATCCTGTCCATCACTTCAAAGTTCATCTCTACCACGAAGCGTCTCTTGTTTTCCTAAACCACATGCCTCCCTCTCTTCAATCTGATACCACTTTCTTTACAGCCCTCTTATGGCACTTCACTCAGACTTGTCTAATAGTCACTTATCCTCTCCTACTAGAATTGAAACTCTAAGGGCAGGACTTATATTGAATAAGTGTTTCTGGATAAAATACAAAACCAAATTCTTCCGAGAGGAGGGGAAAAAAAGGCTTTATTATTAACAGAGCAGAAAAAATTCTCCAACAAAAACTTGTAAAAATATATCCTGACATCAACACCTTTACCAGAAGAGGAGCCATGCATTCAGACCAGTAAGGAGATATGTAACTGGGAGTAGTAACTGTAAAAGTACATGTTACTTTTCGAACACAGCAAACCAGTCCTTTAACTCCATCTAATGAACGATAAAGTATGTCTATGTTACAACAGTACCTCCTTTATCTGATATAACTAGGATATGAGGGGTTCACAAAAGTGAGTTTTCTGGAGAAGTGGCTTCCTACTGAAGAAACAGAGCTCAGACATGCCTACAGCCTGAGCCAGCTGAGATGTTCCTGGAAAACGGAATCCCCTCCTCCTCCCCCTCCACATACACACTTCACCCAGTCTAGCAGAAAACACACAGGCAGGGTGGGGAGGTCCTTTTGTATAGTTCAGTGATGGCGAACCTATGACACACGTGTCAGAGGTGACACGCGAACTCATTTTTTTGGTTGATTTTTCTTTGTTAAATGGCATTTAAATATATAAAATAAATATCAAAAATATAAATCTTTGTTTTACTATGGTTGCAAATATCAAAAAATTTCTATATGTGACACGGCACCAGAGTTAATTTAGGGTTTTTCAAAATGCTGACACGCCGAGCTCAAAAGGTTCGCCATCACTGGATAGTTACTCGCATCTGATAAATAGGTAGGCAGCATAGCGGAAGGGCAAGGAGGGTATTAAAAGCCCTATAAGATGACAAAAGGAATGTTTGCATGGCAGAATCCTCATTCCAAGTTGTTGGTACTATACATTGCATTTCCCTGAGAAACCTCGGGGAGTAGAGCAGCTGTTCTTCTGCCTTGGAACGAGTTATGTCATCACCTGCTGCAAAATTCCGTCCTCTTTGCCACTGAAAATATTTCACCTTCTAATTATTTCTGTTATGGGTTGAATTGTGCAACCCCAAAATACATATGTTGAAGTCCTAACCATGAATACTTCACAACGTGAACCTGTTTGGATATAGTGTCATTGCAGATATAACTAGATGAGGTCATACTGGAGTAGGGTAAACCCCTAATGAAATAAGGAAGGCTGGTGTTCTCATAAAAACAGAAAATCTGGCCCTGGACGGTTTTTGCTCAGTGGTTAGAACATCAGCCAGCGGACCAAAGCGTCCCTGGTTCGATTCCTGGTCAAGGGCACGTACCTGGGTTACAGATTGGATCCCTAGCCCCAGTCTGGGTGCATGCAGGAGGCAACTAATCAATGTGTCTCCCTCTGACATCGATGTTTCTTTCTCTCTCTCTCTCTCCCCCTTCTTGTCTCCCTCATTCCCACTCTCTCTCTAAAAAAAACAAACAAACAAAAAAAAAACAATGGAAAAAATATCCTCTGGCAAGGAGTAATGAGAAAAAAAAAGTTTTAAAAATCTGGACACAGTACACAGGAGAATGCCATGTGAAGATGAAGGCAGAGATCAGGGTGATGCTTCTATAAGCCAAGAAACTCCAAAGATTGGCAGCAGACCCCCAGAAACTAGGTAACAGAACAGATTCTTCTTCCTCAAAGGAAACCAACCCTGCTAGCACCTTGATCTCAGACTTTTAGCCTCCAGACTGAGACAACAAATTTCTGTTGTTTTCGAAGCCCAAACAAAATACCCCGTCTATGGTATTTCGTTTGGGCATTCCTAGCAAACTAATTGGTGTCTACTGGTGTCTTTCCAGTTGTCATAGCACCAATCTACTGTGACAACCATACACCTCTTTAAGAAACCAAACTTCTTAAGAATGATCAGTTACATTCAATCAACAAACACATATTGATGACTTCTATGTTCCAGGCACCAAGGACAAAGCAGTAAAACTGACATGGTCCCTGCCTTCATATAGGTTAGTGTAATTAGTATAATTGACCTAAATTATACAACAAAATTAATACACCTAAATTATACAACAAAAATACACCTAAATTATACAACAAAAAAAATACACCTAAATTATACCAAAAAAAATTTGCAATTGTGGTAATAGCAATAAATGACACACTTCCAATAGAGAATAGCGGACATATTTAACCACATCTGAGTGACTCAAGGACATTGCTATGGAGGCCTATTGTACAGTTCTGTGCCCTTTTATTATTTTGCTCCCATCTACATGTCAGGTTGTTAGATACCATAAAGTCTGCTTTTACCAGCTACCCTCTTATATTCCTGCTCACCTTCTTTAATCCACTCATTTCTAATTTGAAGCCTCTAATTTGCTATAGGCTAGAAAAATCAGGTAACTAATATTGCTAAGAAACATACATTAAATAATAAAGACAGCTACAAGTGAGAACTAAAGATTGGGCTTTAATATGGGCTTTCTGATATACTTTAGATTCTCAGAGACACTTTTCTGACAGAATTCTGTTATAAAGCACTAAGGTAGAACATTATTCTTTATAAACTAGGTGTTACAGAGTAATTTTACTACTTTGGTATTAAATTGCCTGGCAAACACTTCTTTTCTTTAAAAGAGAATATAGTGTGGATACTATGTAAACAGGTATAGAAGGAAGAAATACTGCCCAAATTTGGAATTACATAACTTGTTGCCCAGCATAAGGCATATTTTTATTATCTACTTGTGAATCAAATAACAGGAAGCATTACAACAGGAAGGTCCACCCAACGTTTTTGCAGTACTTCATAAACACCACCTACCTCTTATGCATATCCAACAATCATCTTTTTTGTTGTGTTTTTTAAGTTCTTCTTCAGTTACTTCAATTAACCTGCCTTTTAATCCTGTTAAGTCCTTTCCACTTTTGGTCAGTCTAATCCAATCCATAAGACTTCTGCCCTGTTTTAGAGGTACCTAAAAAAGGAAAAGGGAAGAATTATATGTGGCTTCTTCAAGTTAGTTGCTTTTTCTTCTCTCCTGCTGCTTGTCTTCAGGCTACTTCATTACTCTTATTCCCATGAAAAAGAATAAGAAAATGCAAACCTAACAATTTTATAAATATTCTTTATAGCTTTAGGAGATTGTCAAAATCATTTTCTTACAACTAGAATTATAGACAGAACATCATATAAAATTCCTGGGCTATAAGGCAGGGCTTAGAAATTCTGTCACACAAATGTTCATCATAATGGTAACATGAACAGTATTAATCGTGGAGTCAGAAAACAGCTTTTGGTCCTGGCTCTGTCACTAATACATTATAGTCACTTACCAATTTGGACCAAAATTTCTTTGCCTTAAAAATCAAGAGAGATTTGATAGAAGAAAATATAAACAACTGGCTAAAATTGGTTTTTTTTTGATTGTCAATATACACAGAATACTGGAAATCACTAGGCAGCAATTAATTTTCTAAGAATCCACTGAAAAACAAAGGCTATCAAATAATGGAAAATAATAACACTGTAACACTATAGGGAAGGACTGGCAAATTGGCCCATGCCTGTTTCTATAAAGCCCTTGAGCTAAGGATAATTTTCACATGGGTGTCCTTATGTGGCCCTCAAAGTCTAACATATTTATTATCTGGCTCTTTGCAGAAAAGTTTGCCTACCCTTGCCCAGAGGATTTATAACAGGACTAGAAGCCCAGTGCTTGAAATTCGTGCATGGGGGGGGAGCCTCAACCCAGCCTGCACCCTCTCCAATCTGGGACCCCTCAAGGGATGTCTGACTGCCCGTTTAAGCCCAGTACCGGTGGGATCGGGCCTAAACGGGCAGTCGGACATCCCTCTCACAATCCAGGACTGCTGGCTCCCAACCACTCACCTGTCTGCCTGATTGCCCCAAACTGCTTCTGCCTGCCAGCCTGATCATTCCCTAACCACTTCCCTGCCAGCCTGATTGATGACTAACTGCTCCCCTGCTGGCCCAATTGCCCTTAACTGCCCTCCCCTGCCAGCCTGGTCACCCCCAACTGTCCTCCCCTGCAGGCTTGGTCACCCCCAACTGCCCTCCCCTGCAGGCCTGGTCACCCGCAACTGTCCTCCCCTGCAGGCCTGGTCTCCCCTAACTGCCTTCCCCTGCAGGCCTGGCCACCCCCAAATGCCCTCCCTCCCCTGCTGGCCATCTTTGACCACATGGGGCGGCATCTTGTATATTGGAGTGATGGTCAATTTGCATATCACCTCTTTATTATATAGGATGTTTGGTTTCTTGTGTGTGTGTGTGTTTTTTCCCCAAAATACATTTTCAAAACTTTTAGATGAGAAGTATTTATTAGTGTTCTAACCAGTTAAGACAACCCAGTAGAAATGTTCAAGACATTCCTACGGAATAGGACTACTATCTAAACTTGTATAACTAGTTTGTAACATAGGACCAGAGGGATGTTTAATGTAAAAGCAGACACAGTCAAGGAAGTTTACTGTTACAGACTGAATTTTTGTGCCTCCCAACACCTAGCCAAATCCTTATGTTGACATCCTAAATCTTAACATGATGGTAATTAGGAAGTGAGGCTTTTGGCAGGTGATTTGGTATTAAGGACAGTGTCTTCATGAATGGGATCAATGTCCTTATGAAAGAGGCCTGAAAGATGCCTCAGCCCTTTGAAGACCAGGGAAAATTCAGCTATGAAACAGGAATGAGGCCTTTATGAGACACAGAATTGGCCATTGGCTCATGCATTGACCTTGAACTTCCCAGCCTACAGAAATGTGAAAAATAAATTTCTATTGTTTATCTGCCACCTAGCCAATGGTATTTTGTTATAGCAGTCAGAACAGACTAAGACATGTACATACCTCACTTTCCTGAGTCATACCTATTTTAGGCATTTATTTACCCCCAAAATAACCAAGTTAACAGGTCTATGGTGCCTTTCTAATTTTATATTCCTTCCTATCAACTTACATCATCTCATCCTTACCATCACTGAATCTTTCTAGGTCATTTGTTCCCAATAAACAAAGTAAAGGGTAAGATTATGACCTTTCCCATCCCAAACCAAATTCACTTGTCTCTCTTGTCTGTGTGGATTCCATACTCTACATGGTAGTTAAAAGCAATCTTTTGAAAATGCTAATCTAATCATGGGCTCTCCCTACTTTCTAATGATGTCTCTAAATTTCCTACAGTGGTTTACCAGGCCCTTCAGAAGTGGTCATAGCTTACCTCACTAGCTCCATGGTTTAATTTTGCTCCTTCCCATTTATACGTTTTAGCTAAATGGGAAAATGGAAACAGACTCCTTGACTGCAATGAAACACTTGCTCCATGCCTGGATCTATCACCCAACTCCACCGCAGACATTATTTCCTCCAGAAGCCTTCTCTGACCCCAACTTATCATAACACACTATTACAGTATTTATGGCATTTATAACTGCCTATTTACTAGTCCATGCAGCCTACTAAAGTAAACTCCTTGAAAACAGAGACCTATCTGTAGAATAAGGTAGGTTCTCAGTAAATATTTATTTACTAGTGTTAGTAGAAATAATAATAGCTAACAAATACTGAGTGCATACTTTAGCCAGGCACTGTGCTAAGGGTTGTACACAACAATCCTTGATACTTAAATAAAAGATGAGAGGTATTTAGTTACATTTAGTGAGTGCTTTCAGTATACCAAGACTGTGCTACGAGAAACATTATCTCATTTAATCCTATAAACAACCCTATAAAATGGGTACTGTCATTCCATTTACACCTGAGTCAAAGAGGTTAAGTGGTAGAGCTGGGAAAAGAATCTGGGTCTTTCTCATTCAAAAGTCTGTGCTTGCCCAGTCGGTGTTGTTCAGTGGTTGAGCATCGACCCATGAACCAGGAGGTCACAGTTTGATTCCCAGTTGAGGCAAATTCCTAGGTTTTGGGCTCGATCCCCAGTAGGAGTCATGCAGGAGGCAGCCAATTGATGATTCTCTCTCATCATTGATGTTTCTTTCTATCTCTCCCTCTCCCTTCCTCTCTGAAATCAATAAAAACATATTTTTTAAAAGTCTCTGATTTTTAACTATTATGATATACAACCTCCCCAACTACGTTCTATTTCTCAGTCTACCCATTTCATACAATCCTGACTCAGCTTCTAACATGTTCAAGAGTAGCTTGTTTCACAAAGAAAAAACAAAAACAGTCTTAGCTTCCCTTTGAGTTGCACAATAATCTTATTTTGTTCTCTTTTTTGGACCCAAAGATTCACCTTTGCCATCACCACCTGTGAATCTTTTGTCTTTGCCTCTAAATTGTCTCCTTTAAATGGATATTGAGAAAATGATTAGTAGTTTTAATGGAGGGCAGAAACTTATAATCTAATTCATAGATTCTTTCTCTGGAAAGGCTATCCTATTCAAACATTTAGCTTAATGAACCTTGTCCAGCACAGCCAGGGGTGAATCTTAGGAGGGGCAGTGAAGGATTAAAGAAAACAGACAAGACAATACAGTTGGGACCAGGTGGATCACTACCTGGATGAGGAAATAGTGACCCAGCCTGTAAGCCCAACTTTATAGTCAGATCACACAAAGCAAAACAAGGGAGTGGTCAACATGTTTACAATGCTATTGCGAGTTTCCTTACTCAAGCCTGGTTTTGGCAGCACTTGCTGCACCTCCTGCAGCCCATTAGCTACCTAGGAAGGAACAAGGGAGGACTATAAGGTCAAGCTTAATTGTGCTAGGAGGGCTCTGCCCTCCAAGCTGGGACTTGTATGTGGCTCTGCCACAGGTCAATCCAAGGCTTGACCCTATAGCCGCTCCCTACAGCTTAAGGAGAGAAACAGGTCAAATATCAAGGAAGAGGGGACAAATAATTAAATGGCTAGATGACATGTGGAACAATAAATAAAAAACCACAGCCACAGAGTCACATCACATCAAGCCTGTAAGATCTAAGGCAACATTCTTCACCAGATTGCTTTTCTGTGAAATGGAGATAACACATGCATCCACTTCATAGGATCATTGTAAAGAGTAAACGGGTGAATACAAGTAAAGCAATGAGAACACTTGCAGTGGTTCTCAACCTTCCTAATGCCGTGACCCTTTAATACAGTTCCTCGTGTTGTGGTGACCCCCAACCATAAAATTATTTTCGTTGCTACTTCATAACTGTAATTTTGCTACTGTTATGCATCGTAATGTAAATATCTGATATGCTATGTGTGTTTTCCGATGGTCGCGACCCACAGGTTGAGAACCGCTGACTTAGAGCATACATGGCCATCAGTAAGCACTGAATAAATCTCGGCTGTACTATTATTATAGTTGGGTTTACAGACTTCTGAAAAGCTAATGAGAGCTACAGATCCCTGAACCCATAATTCTGATCTAGAGTCAAACTCCAGGTCTTAGTGGAGAAAGAAAGAAAGAGAGGAAAGAGAAGGAAGAGAAGAAAAGAGAAGAGAGAGAAGAGAAGAGAAGAGAAGAGAGAAAAGATAAGAAAAGAAAAGAAAAGAAAAGAAAAGAAAAGAAAAGAAAAGAAAAGAAAAGAAAAGAAAAGAAAAGAAAAGAAAAGAAAAGAAAAGAAAAGAAAAGAAAAGAAAAGAAAAGAAAAGAAAAGAAAAGAAAAGAAAAGAAAAGAAAAGAAAAGAAAAGAAAAGAAAAGAAAAGAAAAGAAAAGAAAAGAAAAGAAAAGAAAAGAAAAGAAAAGAAAAGAAAAGAAAAGAAAAGAAAAGAAAAGAAAAGAAAAGAAAAGAAAAGAAAAGAAAAGAAAAGAAAAGAAAAGAAAAGAAAAGAAAAGAAAAGAAAAGAAAAGAAAAGAAAAGAAAAGAAAAGAAAAGAAAAGAAAAGAAAAGAAAAGAAAAGAAAAGAAAAGAAAAGAAAAGAAAAGAAAAGAAAAGAAAAGAAAAGAAAAGAAAAGAAAAGAAAAGAAAAGAAAAGAAAAGAAAAGAAAAGAAAAGAAAAGAAAAGAAAAGAAAAGAAAAGAAAAGAAAAGAAAAGAAAAGAAAAGAAAAGAAAAGAAAAGAAAAGAAAAGAAAAGAAAAGAAAAGAAAAGAAAAGAAAAGAAAAGAAAAGAAAAGAAAAGAAAAGAAAAGAAAAGAAAAGAAAAGAAAAGAAAAGAAAAGAAAAGAAAAGAAAAGAAAAGAAAAGAAAAGAAAAGAAAAGAAAAGAAAAGAAAAGAAAAGAAAAGAAAAGAAAAGAAAAGAAAAGAAAAGAAAAGAAAAGAAAAGAAAAGAAAAGAAAAGAAAAGAAAAGAAAAGAAAAGAAAAGAAAAGAAAAGAAAAGAAAAGAAAAGAAAAGAAAAGAAAAGAAAAGAAAAGAAAAGAAAAGAAAAGAAAAGAAAAGAAAAGAAAAGAAAAGAAAAGAAAAGAAAAGAAAAGAAAAGAAAAGAAAAGAAAAGAAAAGAAAAGAAAAGAAAAGAAAAGAAAAGAAAAGAAAAGAAAAGAAAAGA